GCTGCACAGCTAGGAAGTGGTGAGGCTAAGATTTGCACACAGAAGTCTGGTCCAGAGGCTGTGCACTGACCACTGAAGAGTACCACCCCTCTGAAGCCTGGCCTCTTGCCATAGCCCTGCCTGTTAACAGGAAGCAAACGTAGCTGGGTCTAAGCATTGACAGGAGCCCACCACAGTGAGAAGACGTAGGCTAATTTTGAGGAAGCCCTTCCAAGCTTATGAGAGAACTGCTAACCACAGGCTCTGAGTCACCCTGAGAGGAAGGAGTCTGGGTCTGGGGGAGCTGGGCATAGTTTGGAGTTGTGGGGTGGGAGATGGTCTGGACAGAGCAGAACAGAGACCCCCAACTTTCAGCCGCTGAGACAGGGGGAGCCTCTGACCCCGGGGGGCTGTGACTCACCCAGAGTCAAGGCTCCACACTCAGGCGGTGCACACCAACCTCCAAAGTGGAACCACTGGGCCCATTCCCCCTCGGGTCACCCCGCAGAGATTGAGCCAGGAAAGTCCCCCTCCCTGTTCATTAGTACAACGTCTCAAGTTTTCCTGGTGGGGAGAAGGTTTGTCCAAGCTGTAACCTAAGAGGACTGGGCTCCAATTGGAAGCACAAAAGGGAGATTCCCACTTGTCAGGCCCTCCAGTGGCCCAGGCCCCACGAAGGAGACGAGTCAGTGCTGCGTCCGTGGCCTGGCCCCATATCCTGGCAGCAATCCCAGCCCCCATTTCTCCCAAGATTTCTAGCTCCCAAAGCACTTTCACATCTGGGGTTCCGGATGACCTTGTGACTGCTATTTTGTTCCATTTTACAGAAGCAGAAACCGAGCATCAGAGAGAATGTGAGCTATGTCCTCTTAGAACAAGGACCCCTACTCCCACCACTGCTGTGCTCCGATAGCCGCTGCAAGGTCTCCTCGCCCCATTTGACAGAGAGAGAGATTGAGGCCCAAGCAGGGTCCCACAGAGAGATGGTGAGCAGCGGCCGTCCCATTGGAGGGGACTCGGTAGATCAGGGGCCCTCTCTCACACATACTTATGCACACACGCGCACACACACACACACACACACACACACACACACACACTCACTCACGCACAGAGTCTCCTTGGGCCTGCCTGCACACTCACCACATGGTAGATGGCCAGAGCAGTGGTTGCGAGGCGGACATTGAAGCAGCAGCAGGTCTGGCGGATGGCCATGCTGGGGGCCATGGTGCCGCTGTCCCCTACTCCAAGGCACTGAGGGGAAAAGAGTCCTGCGCCTGGAGCAGGCCAGAAAAAGGGGAAGCTGCCGGCTGCCCTACTCACTTCCTTCCTGCCCCTCAGACAGGCAGGGGCAAGATCGTCACCACTGGGGCGGGGCAGCTGGGAAGGACCGTAGCCTGCCTCAGAGCACCACAGCTGGCCCTCTGCCATTCCCAGGAGGGGCTCCCTAGGGAAGCAGGACCCTTACACCGTCAGCCACAACCTACTGTGTGCCAGGGCTGGGGTGTAAGCAGTGTCACATGCACTGCTCACCACCACCCTTGGACACAGGGACTGTTACCAACCCCATTTCCAGATAGAGAAACAGGAGGTCCCAAGAGGTTGAGGCATTCACCCAGAATTATACAGTAGTTAGTGCTGGTGACAGGATTCAAACCCAGGTCTGGCTGGCTGGCTGGCTGGCTGCAAAAATAACTATTGTCTAGTAATTCTTACCTATTCTAAGTGTGCTCCTGGATTAACCCCTTTAAGCCTCACCTCAAGCCTTTGAGGGAGGTACTATTATTATCCCTATTTTATAGATGAAGAAACAGGGGCTCAAACAAAGGAAGCGATTTGTCCGAAGTCACACAGCTAGCCCGTGGGAGAACGTTGATTTGGACCAGGGCTGACCGGTTCTCGATGCTGCCCCTTCAGAGCTGATGTTCTCTTCACTCTATCCCCAACCTCAGAGAGAGTATGTCCTTCCTGAGCTCTGTCCGAACCAGAACAGGAGAATAATTACTAAACAAATCCATCAACCGTGTGTCAGGCCCTGGGCTAGGCTCTTCTTACAGCTGGGTCATTAATGCCTCACAGCAATCAGGGAAACCTTCAGTCAAACCCCTCTTTGTGGGCCTCAAGGCCCCCAATGCTCACACACATGCAATCTGGAACTTGTTTTCCCCTCACTCTTGGGAGAAGTTGGAATTAATAAGCCATGACTATTGAGCAAGGAACACTGGAATCTTAGATAATAAATTATCCATATTGCAGTAAAGGAAGGAAAAATGAGGCAGCTTGCAAAATTCCTGTAAGAAGTCTGCTCTGTCCAGATCCTGAGCTCACTTGCAATGTAAAGCTTCTAGTGGAGCACAGGGCGCCACCTGCCATGAAGTCCCGCCCTCACATAAGATCATAGAGCTCGGATTGATCACTACAGATGCCCATCATTTCTACCCAAGAATAGGTTATAAAAGGTCTCTAAGCTCCTCCCCCTTGGCAGGAGTTGCTCTGTTGGACCCACAAAGCTTGTCTGGTGGACTTGATCAAATTTCTGTTTGCCAATGAAATCACAATGAAATCACAGGGTCTCTGCCAGTTGGGGCTCCTGGGTGACTCAGCCAATGGCTTCCCTACTTCATTTTCAAGTCTGTTTATTTTTCATCTTAGGCCTTGTTGAGACCAGACATTATAAAATGATGGTTAAGTGCTTAGGCTCCAAGGCTCATGGCCTGGATACCCTCTGGTTGAGTAGCCAGTGCAGCAAGAAAAGTTCTGCTTTTTCTAAGAGCAGCAGGGCCAGAGTGACTGGAGATGAAGAAAGTAGGGGCCAGTAGAGCCCTGAGGCCATGCTGGGGGATCTGGCTGTAATTGTGCTGGGAAGCCACTTGAAAATTTAATACCATTAATAAATGATAGCCATTAATAACATTATGATTTGGTGAAACTGGAGCAGGTGTCAAGCCAATTCCCAAAGAGAGGGCTGAAACCCACTGCTGGCATGAGACCATTTTACATGGTATACGGATGAACACTTTTCATTTTTATGATGATAGATTCATTTTAATGTGCGTTATAAAAATATACATAACTAGCCCATCAATTCTGTGATTTTTTTTTCCATTTATGGGAGTAATATAAGGCCTTGTTTTAAAACAGATACATTTAAATTTAAAAAGCAGTAAGTTGATTTAAAGAAAAATATCAAGGCAGCCACAGACCAGGAGGCAGGCAGATGTGGCAAACACCCACAGAGGTGCTGTGGGCAGAGGTGGTGTGGGTGTCGCTAGTTTGGGAATCCTGGTGGGTGAGAAATCCCATAGTAGCTGTGTGATCTCAGACAAGATGCTTGATATCTCTGAACTGTTGTTTCCACATCTGCAAAACAAAGGCAAAAGCTCCACCTTGGTTGGTGATGATGAAACGAAGTCATGCGCAAAAGCCTCTTGTTTGTTTCCTCCCTTCCCTGCCCATCCTGCTCCCCACCCCCTCAACCAGCCTCAGGCTCTGGAAGGAGGCAGGGCTGGGATTTGAAACCTGATGTATCTCTAAGGCTGAGTCCTGGGCTACATCTCTAGGAGGGGCCAATGACCATGAGGGCAGCCTCTCTGTGAGCAAGCGGCATCTCCCAGGCACTGTCTTCCATCCCAGAAGCACTGGAGTTCCGATGGAGCCTTCGTTCCTCTCTGAGTTACCAACCTCCAGAACGGCTGATCCCTTGGTTGGAGCCCGTTACTCCCTATGGATGGAGGTCCATTCCTCTTATTCCCATCTTCTCCAAACCTCCTGAGAGAGAGGTGGCTGTTATCCCAAATGTCAGGCCCCTGGCCAAGGCCACTGTGGCAGGCAGAATAGAGGACACCCCCTGCACCCCCACAGATACCCTAATCCCTGGAACCTGTGAATATACTTTGCAGGTGTGATTAAGCTGAATATCTTGAGATGGGGAGATTATCTTGGACTATCTGTCTGGGCTCAATGTAGTCAAAAGGGTCCCCGTAAGTGAAAGAGGGAGACAGGAACATCAGCGTCAGATAGCGATTGGAAGACCCTAACCGGCTGACTCCGGAGATGGAGAAAGGGGCCCCAAACCCAGGAATGCAGGCAACTTCTAGAAGCTGGAGAAGGCAAAGGAACAGACTTTCCCTGTCCAAAAGGAATGCAGTCCCGTTGACACCTTGATTTTAAACCAGTGAAACTCATTTGGGGTTTTGACCTCCAGAATTATAAGACAATAAATTTGTGTAGTTTTCAGCCACTGAGTTTGTGGTTATTTGTTACAGCAGCACAGGAAACTCATACAGCTCCTCCTCAGCAGAGTCTACCGTGAAACCCAGGTCTTCCTGACACCAGAGCCCAAGCACACTCCACAGAAACCTCAGTCCCCATCTTCACAAGCGCAGCCCTTGACCTCCTCTCTGAGTGACCTCAGGCAAGCCGTCAACTTCGCTGAGCTTCAGTTTCCTCCTGTGTAGGGTGGGGATAATGATAGCACCCATCTCATGGTTCGTGATGGTTCAGCAAGCAAATGCCCATGTGGGTGGCCGTACTGCGTAAGCTCCTTGCTCCTATTCTGCCCTTTTTCGTTACAAATGCCAAGTTTTGAGCGCCTCTAGAATGCTTTTCTCTTTTTCTTTCTTTTTTTTAGGTTTTATTGGGGAATTGGGGAAGGGGAACAGCCAAGTTGTTGTCCTTCAGTCTTAGTTGTGGAGGGCGCAGCAAGCTCAGCTCCAAGTCCAGTGACCACCCGGCCACCTGTCAGCAGCTCGCGGCCGCTCAGCTCAAGGTGCCATGTTCAATCTTAGTTGTGGGTGGGCATAGCCCACCATCCCATTCGAGGGTCAAAATGGCAACCTTGTTGTTAGGAGCATGTGCTCTCACCAGCTGAGCCATCCTGCCACCTGTTGGCAGCTCAGCTGGGGTGCAGCTCACTGGCCCATGTGGGAATCAAACCGGTGACCCTGTTGCTCAGAGTTCGCACTATACTGTTTTGTAAACTCTCTTTCTTATCTGGTGGACTCTTGAAAACATCAGACCTTCTGAACTTCTTAAGATAAGGAGGAAATGTTCCCCGTTTCCGCAGTCACTAGACAGAGCCAAGATCGCTCTGAAACTGTCCTCCTGAATGTTATTTCTGACAAAGGAGACTCTTAAGACTTCCTGACTTCAGGGATGGTCGTATCTCCTAGAAAGTGATCTTTAATCTCAAAAAAGTCTTTAATTCGGGCTGGTTCTTGTTTAATAATTAATTTGCTGTCATGATGTATTAACATGTCAGCGGATATCTCTGTTTTCTCAAAGGCAGAGTTACTTAAGAGTTTTCTTTGTTAAGCCAGATGAACATCATCAGAACTTCCTTCTTCACCCGCAGGCCTGGAAGTAAAAATAAAACCCATGACTCTGCCAAGTTTCATATTTAAACAAAGAGCTGGGGAGTCTTGTGTCTTTTCAATTAATGCAGGTGAAAAGCACTTAGGAGGGTCTGGCTCAGAGTCAGGACGCAACCACAGGAGCGATTTGGATTATGATTGCTACTATTGGGTCGTTGGAAAAGTCATGACGTATTTTTCTGTTTTTCATTGCAAAAATACGTCATGACTTTTCCGACAACCCAATATGATTATTTCTGTTGTTAGCTAAGCCTGTTCCCGGCTTGTAGCTCAGCAGAGCCTCCCCCTGCCCCAGCCTGGAGAGAAAGGCAGCAAAGAGGTGTTGATCTGTGCCTGGCAGGCCGCAGGGGGCAGTGGCCTGCCACACGGTGCACAGCTGGTCAGCAGCAGAACTAGAATGCAGGCCGTGCTCGGGGACAGCTGCTTGGGTGGCAGGTGAGTGGTGCGGCCGCGAGTAGCTCCAGGGCTCTCTTCCCACTGGGGGTTCCCGGGTGCCCTCTACAGCTCACCCAGGCCAACGGGTAAGCTTCCTGCCAGACCACTGGCCTGTAATTCCCTCCTGGCTGCCCTCATCACCTCACTCTCGCCTTTGAGATTTGGAGCTGCGGCCCAGAAGATATAAGACACCACACAACACTCTCTCCCCTTCTCCTAATCCCCAACACAGCATGTTCACCAGGGACTGGGATCTGAGCATGCAACCTCAGAGTCCCTCCCTTACTCCCCTGTCTCTCAGAGGGTCAGCCTAGCAAGGACAGCCCACAGGCCTGGGGCTGGGAACACCAGGCCCGCCAGTGACCAGGCGGTCAGCCCTACGATCAGGCAGGGGCCGTGGAGGCTGTCTGTCTGACACCCTATCAAGGAGGCTGACTCTCAGCCAAGTGTTTGGAGCTCACTGGCTGCACCCAGGGCCACCACCATGCCATATGCTGATCTGTCA